TATTTATTGTTAGTTACTGTAATGTTACTCCGTCGATCAGTTGATGGAGTTAAACAACTTCACCAACACCACTCCATTATGTATATCAGTTATCAAGCAACTTGGACTTCTTCGTCAGCCCCGCTATATTCACAGAAGTTCACAGGAGTGGGATGGAAAACGTGGAGCGGATTTAAAACAACTTCGACCAATACGGAGACTCACTACCTCTGTTAGTATTAAAGCTGAGTTGTTTAACACTCCGTCTCTCACTATCAAATCTTTTCTTATACAAGATCATATCATGGACAAGTGTCTGGATTTGAAGTGCCTTACTGAAACCTGGCACAAACCAGATGTTTTTTCTGTGTTAAATGAGTCTTGTCCTCCGGGCTATTCTTACCTCTAGAAAGCCCACTGCAGGGGTCGTGGTGGTGGTCTGGCTGTCATCTATCATAATGACCTTGATCTATCCCCTTTGCCTCTGCCTGAGCTGTCATCCTTCGAATGCCTGGCATTTAAATGTAAATCCAATCCTTCAATGACAATACTTCTCATTTATTGTCCACCTAAACCAAATCCATCTTTCATCACTGAAATGTCTGATCTTCTTTCAACTTTTAGTACAACCTCTGCCAAAACTCTAATACTTGGGGATCTGAATATTCATGTTGATTCACCTTCCTGTTGTCTTGCTGCTGACTTTCTTCAATTATTGGACTGCTTTAATGTCAGCCAACTTATTGATGTCCCCACGAATACTAGGGGGCACACGCTCGATTTGGTCATTACCAACTCTGCCCTTGTCAGCAATTTATTAATATATGATTTGGGTGTGTCTGACCATAAGGTTGTCCCCAAGGAGCTGCTATTTCCTTCCCCTCTCATCAAGGCCAAAGGCGAAATCTGCTTTAGAAATTTGAAAAATATCAACCCAGTATCTATGACAGTTGACTTACAGAGTCTTCTACATGTAAACTTCTCATCAGTCGATACCGCAGTGGACTTTTATAATGAAACCCTGAGCAGTATATTGGATCTCCATGCCCTGGTCAAATCCAAAGCAGTTACAATCAATCAATCAACCCTCAACTTGCTCTTTGTAGAGCATGCTGTCTGTGAAGAACAGCCTCCTGTAGTGGCACCCAGGGAGCTGGGGCTTAAGGGCCTTGCTCAAGGACCCACAAACATGCTGAGGCTGGGTTTGAACCACCAACCTTGTGATTACAGGCACACAGGCTTAGCCCACTGAGCCACACGCTGCCTCTGTTACCTTCTCTCGCTCAGCACCCTGGTTTACAAATGAGCTACGAAAAATGAAGGCAGCTGGGCGTGCCCTTAGGGTCTCACTGTCCACAAGCTGGCCTATCGGGAACATCAAAAGGCATGCTCAAAGTTCCTTAGAGAGGCACGGTCTAAGTTTTATTTAAATGTCATTAAAAACAGCCATGGAAATTCTAAGCAGCTGTTCTCCACTGTAAATCAACTTCTACAACCAGAAACTCCTATACCTGTTGAAAATACAGAAGAGCACTGTAATGATTTTATGACCTTCTTCAAAGCAAAAATCAACTCAATTCGCTCTGCCTTTCCAGGTCCCCCAGATCTATCTGTTCTGACCATCAATCCACGGCCTGTGATTGCCCAGCCTCTCGACTGCTTCCTAGAAGTTTCACAACAAGAGGTTGAAGAAATTATTAGGAATATGAAGCCCTCCACCTGTGCTCTGGATCCCTTTCCTACAGCCTTGGTGAAAGCAAACATCTCTGCCATCACTCCTTTGATCACCACAATCATTAACCAATCCCTCCAGGCTGGCTACATTCCATCTGCTTTAAAAACCGCTATAATCCGACCACTTCTCAAAAAACCCATTCTTGATCCAGAAGTTTTTGCCAACTATAGGCCTGTCTCCAACCTTCCATTCCTCACTAAAGTACTGGAGAAAGTAGTTGCCATCTATATTCAGGATCACCTCAAATGCAACAACCGCTTTGAAAAATTTCAGTCTGGTTTTCGCTCTGCCCATAGCACAGAAACAGCTTTGATTAGAGTCACAAATGACTTGCTGATGACGGCTGATGCTGGCTCACCTTCTCAACTCGATCTTCGTGATTTATCTGCTGTGTTCGACACGATTGACCATGATATACTCCTCAGTCGGTTACATCACACCATTGGTCTAACTGACACTGCCTGGTCTTGGTTTCAATCTTATCTTACTGACAGAACAGAGTACATTTCCCTTGGAAAAGCAAGGTCCCGGACACACACTGTGACCTGTGGAGTCCCCCAGGGGTCAGTTCTCGGCCCCATCCTTTTCACTTTATACATGCTCCCTCTTTGCCAAATCATTAGTCGCTATGGAATTTCATTTCACTGTTATGCTGATGACACACAGCTTTACATGAAAACTGATAAATACTCCTCTGCAGCATCATGTTCACCATCACCATCAATGCCATGGAAACTCAGCATCTGTCTTGAGTAGATCAGTGTGTGGATGAAACAAAATTTTCTCCAGTTAAACTGCTCTAAAACTGAAGCGATCTTGGTTGGTACCCCGCATCACCTTCAGTCAGCCTCCATACCGAGCATTACAGTCTCCCGTCATGACATTTCCCTTGCCTCGTCAGTCATCAACCTTGGTGTTAGACTTGATCCTCAACTCACTTTTGAAGCTCATGTTAAACATCTCTGCAAGACTTCATTCCACCACCTCAGAAATATTGCAAAACTCCGTCCTACTCTCACCTTGCCAGATGCTGAAAAACTGGTTCATGCCTTTATCTCCTCCAGACTTGACTACTGCAATGCACTTCTCATTGGAATGCCCAACAAACATCTTCAAAGACTCCAATACATACAAAACAGTGCAGCAAGGATTCTGATGAGAGTTCGAAAATATGAACACATTACACCCATTCTTCAGTCACTGCACTGGCTTCCCTTTTCTGCAAGGATTGAATACAAGGTTTCCCTTATCACTCACCAATGCATCCATGGAAATGCCCCTCTTTACCTAAAAGAACTACTTACCCCCCTAACCTCAACACGGTCTCGACGATCTACAAATGCAAATCGTCTCCTACTCCCCAGGACCAAACTCAGCACAATGGGTGATCGGGCCTTCTGTTCTGCCGCCCCGCGTCTATGGAACACCCTCCCAGACCATGTGAGGGCACCACAGACTATTGAAAATTTCAAAAAAGGACTTAAGACATTTCTTTTTAATAGAAATTATGGATTTAAATTAATTTTGCAGGAAGATTTCTTAATTATTGATCTACTTGCTTGTTTTAATTGTTGTTTTAATATGTGTTTTTTTTCCACTTCTTTTAGGATGACATTTTGTGGCACTTTGAGATTTATTTTAAATGTAAAGTGCCTTACAAATAAAATCTATTATTATTATTTATTAATACTCACTGAAATGTCCAGAAATAGAGGCATTCAAGTTATTCTTTCCTGGGCTCTGTGATAAATCAATAAATGCCTTTTCAACATCTTTGTTCCCATAATTCCACTGTCACTGTCCTATCTGTCACACTACGGTACGAAGGCGAGCAGGGAAGCAGGGAAACGGAGCCGTAACTCAGGACAAACGGGGTTTATTTGGAGACAGGCGGGTGAACGAAGGTAGATCAGCACACGTAACATCACATCACAATGACAAATCTGGGGAAAACTGACTGAGACTAGGACTAAATACATGAGACTAGGCAAACGTAGCAGGCAACAGGTGAGAACAATCAAGGTTCGACAGGAGGTAATGAGGGGGCGTGGCACACACGAGGAGCGTTCGGAGCTGAACGTGACACTATCAAAGTGTTCATTAAAAATACTACTGACAAATAAAGACTAAATAATTACACATGTATTCATAATATAAATACTGAGGTCTGAAAGAGATTAATGCTATCTGCATTCATGCAACCAATTTTCATGCATATCATCAGTGTATAATTACTTATCATGAAGTTGTTATATAATAGCCCATCTCTCAAAATACATTATCTAGTACTGCAGGTCTTAGAATATTGATGCAGAACTAAAAATTCAGCAGTTATCAAAAGAATTAGTCCTGTAAAAGAAGTTCTCAAAATGTTTCTTAATGTCTTGTCAATCATCAGCAGTCATCTTGTATGGTTAATAGATTTGTGTGAATGGCTCTTACTTGTTTGATACAGACTGGAACCGGACCTCATACGGGTCACTGTCACCAACAGAGAAGGAGGAGTCAGATATGATTTTGCCCATTGTGCTCCAATATTTGTGCCCACCCTACATCTCCTTCTTTGGCCTGGGGGCGGTGTCTGCAGCAGTGATGTCATCTGCTGATTCGTCCATCCTTTCTGCCAGTTCCATGTTTGCCCGGAACATCTATCAGCTCTCCTTTCGTCAGCTGGTAAGAGACTGTGTGATACTTTACAGGCGTGTCAATGGATCATGCCAAGGCCGTAGCCATGGAATCAACATGGCCGTAATTATAGTATATAATGGGGGGGACATTCTGATCACATCTGAAAACAGGGGGTACGTGTCCAAAATATATAATAATTGTGGCCTTGGATGGTGGCTTGATGATGTATTTTGAGTTTGTGATTGACACGTGATATCTTCAACCTTTCGAACAATGATATACAGTAGTTAGCTCTGAAGGAAAAAATACACTTGACTGAATAATTATCTTCCATTCATTTAACTTAATTGTGCAGATGTTTCAATCATTGATTGTCTATTACAGTGCTGAACAAAATAAATAATGGCATTAAATAGGAATTGCAGCAAGAACTTAAAACCACTAAATTGCATATTTATTAATTTTTAATAGGCAATCAGAATTTATGATTGAATTATTATTGGTATTTTATTACAGCAATGCATTTGTAAATATTATAAAGATTAGATTATGGTAAAATGTTGCATAATTATGTAATGTTATCAAAAATAAATGGTATATTTTGTGAACTAATTAAATATTTAATTATGGCTAAGGTTTAAAGAGCTGTTCAAAGATTTCAAAAAATAAATGTACTGTATATACATTGCGAAATTGTTTGAAGTTAAAAAGAATAGCATAGTTTTTCATACAGTCAACAATCTCTTGATGTACAGATGATTTCATGTAGGGGTTTTAGATTACAAATCAATCCTGCCTAAGTAAGAATAAAATCAACAAAACCCAGTCAATTTTATGTTGATATTTATTTAAGTTAAATGCAATATGGTCCCACATTACAATAAGACTACCCATATAAAGGGTTTATGAATGGTTTATAATCTGGTTATTAATTATGTTGTAACACTTTGTAAATTACTAATAGACAATTTTAAACAAGTTATAACACAGTTTTCTTTTTATTAATGAGTTACTACCATTTACAAGTCGCAAAAGGAGCCTTATTGTAAAGTGATACCTGCAATATTAAAAACCTTCCAAAGGACATGTTGTTAATCCTTTGCCAATGTTAAATTTGAATTTTATAAAAAGTACAAATTTGATAAAAGTTTAGATGTTTTTAAATGTCTTCGGTGAAGTACAGTATGGTGTTTTGGAAGGTTTGTATGTGTGTCCTTTATAATTGTTTTCTCACTGCTTAGTCTTTAATGCAATCACAAAAACACACACTTAGAATCATCCCTACTGACAACAGCAGAATCCAATTAGAGACTCATTAGCAGCCTGCACCTGTCTCACATGTCAAAGAACGTGGGAATATTCTGGCTTGTTAGTCATACCACTCCTTTCCTGCTTTCTAAAGAGCACGCTTTCTGTGAAATTACTACCTAGTGTAATGAAATTTATTATTTCATAATTGTCAAATGTTCTAGACCTTTAGAGACAGATGTGCCACATTCATAAGCTACATGCTGTCGAAACAACAATGTATTTCCCAGACAGCTTCGTCATCCTCTCCCCCCGATCTAATCCCTGTTCTTCCCACAACCCTAACGTGTACAATCTTTAGTTCCCCTACACACTCTGCTCACTTCTCCAAATAATCTTTATTAGATGCCCAACTTTGTGTGACTTATCTTAGTGTAATCAGCTTCACCATGATCTGCAGATCTGTGTCTCTTGCTGTCCTATCAAAGCAACAGTAATTTTGTCAATTTTGGTGCGATCTGTCTCAAAATTTGTTAATTTCCAGATCTTCCTCCATACAATGTGTCTGCAAAGTTTGAAAAGTTCAGTGAAAACATGTTTTGAGTTGTGATATATAAATGTCTGCGGCGGTGACAGACCAGTCCCAGAACCACATGCATTCCCATCAAATACAATAAACACCATTCATTTAGAGGGAGAAGGGAAGCTGTGAGCGTATCAGCTTGTGTCGAATGACTCACTGTAGATGTGGTGCTGTCTGATGAGTATAACATGTAACGGTCCACCAGTAGAATTCATGAGGGTTGTTTTATAATTCTGCCATATATAATTTTTTTTAGCAGAACCCTAAATTCAAAGTAACATACAATTGAGAAAGGATGGTCAGACAGTCCCTGGAGTAGCTTGGGTAAATGGTCTTGTCCAATAGTGCAATCATTCCTCTGACCACGGGATCTGAGGTAGCACCAGCAGAGACACATACTGCCCCGTATAGCCCAGAACAGAAAAGTTAATCATGGTTATATATAAGAACAGAGAGTTTTCAAATGCAATTCTGTAAACCTTGTTATGTGAAAAACTGAATGTTTGGTTTGTTTCCAGTGAATGTTTGTTTCTGGATGATTAAATGAGTTAAATATGCAACTACTGTAGCAGCCAGGTTTGAGATTTAATAATTGTTTGTTTAACATCAGACAGATGAAACATGGAATTAAAAAAATACAAATGTGTAGTAAAATAAGCAAAAGCTTATTTCAGCTTTTTTGTTTTCATTAAAATTTTATTTTAATCACATTAATCAATTAACGATGACTTTGCATTGTTTTTCTTTTTTTTTGCATTTCTGTTTGCGCAAAAGTGGTTACCAAACGAAAGTAGTACATTTCAGGTACAGATACATTTGGTGGTATTAATTACTCTAATATGAACGTATCCAGCATTTTCCATGCGGATGCAGCAACACCCACTTCTTCAGTACATAGTATGAAATAGTTGTGGTACAGTATGTCTGTCAGAATAATCCTTAAAATTGCCATGGGAATTCATTGAGTCATCACTGTTTACAGATCTTGTGTTTGTGGTCCCATCGCAGGCCTCAGACCGTGAAATCATCTGGGTCATGCGGATTACAATCTTCGTGTTCGGGGCCCTGGCCACGTCTCTGGCACTGCTGACGGGCACTGTCTATGGCCTGTGGTACCTGAGCTCCGACCTGGTCTACGTCATCATCTTCCCCCAGCTAATCTGTGTGCTTTTCATCAAGGCCACAAACACTTATGGATCGGTAGCCGGCTACATCTTTGGCCTGCTCCTCCGCATCGGCGGTGGGGAGCCATACCTCAGAGTTCCCCCTTTCATCTACTATCCTGGATGGACCCAGATGAAAAAGGTGAATCACCTGACACATGAAGCTGAGTATTACATCAGGCAGAGGTTCCCCTTCAAGACTGTTTCCATGCTTGCATCCTTCCTGGGAAACATTGCCTTTTCATATTTGGCAAAGTATCTGTTTGAAAGTGGGAAGCTTCTACCAAAATATGACTTCCTGGATGGTGTTGTCTCAAAGCACAGCAAGGAGATCATGGACAAAACCACATTAATGAACAGCGACAATATCACCCTGGCAGAGATGTTCCCAGTGAAATCACAACTCAGTACTACTCTGGCTGGAACATTTATTACTAAAGAGGAATTAGACGATAAGGAAACAAGCCCCGATTCTTCTAACAATCAAATTAACTAGAGGTTTCTCAGGGTTTGGACAGAACATTTTTCGACAATGACACAGTACAGATCTTTGATGTTAGGTAAGTTAAACAAGTAAGTGTGATAACTATATGTATTATATTTGTGTGGGTAATTGTTTTTAAATTCTTTTAAGTGCTGCTATTTTTTGTAAACTAGGAAATAGATTTGCGTTTCAAGAACAATTTAAGAAACTTACTGCAACTGTATGGATTGTACTTTAATGAAAAAGTTTCAAGTCCTAAACTGTAGACAATAAGGTTTGCCATAAAATTGCGGGATGAACGAATCAGGCAGTGCCAGACAATTTGATGTGGTAGAGACATGCAAGGTACAAATCATTGTAGTGGTATGGATCAGATAGTTACACCTTGGAGCCATACTTCCTTCACAAACGAACAGAATGACTTCCTACTAGATGGCTGTGCAGACTGGCCGAGTTATATCACGGGGTCTGTATCACGGGGTCTCTTTCATGTGTAATGCGGACATGGCAGGTGAGGAGGTGTGGTATGGATCACGTAGTGACACACGTAATTACTGGCTATCAGAGTTTTATGTGAAGTTTGGAAGTATGACTAGGAGAACACAAAAGATCACAATCCCTGTGATTCGTATGTAAAGTAGATTGTGGACGTCTTCAAGATCTATCATGATATAAAAGTGTCGGCTGTGTCAGAATTCAGGGACTGCATCCTTCTAAGGCTGCAATCGAAGACCGAATGCGTCACAGCAGTGCGACAAGACTGTCCCATTTCGAAGGCTCTTTCAAAGGTGGTCTAGAAATGTGTCTTTTGCCGAGTTGCCAAGGGTCCACCCAATGGATCCTTCACAGCCTACCATATCCCAAGATTCATTATGCAGATGTGAATTGGGTGTGTCCCAGCTAGACGACAGTAGCAGCACTTTATGACTCAACGCTATGGGCAGGAACAGCTGGTGACGCAAATAGGAAATTATCCGTGGGCCAGACCATACCATTTAACAACACTTTCTGTTCGACCTCTGATGAACGCTGCATACAATGACTACACCTTCGTAGACTGCATCCTTCGAAAGATGCGGCCCCTGAATTAGGACACAGCCGTCAGTTCGCCCACCCTTAGCATGAGGTTTAAAGTGCTTTGCTCTCTTTCATTTCACTACCGGTACACCAGACCTAATTTAACACCTGACCTACGAGTCACACTCCCTGTACACCACAGAATACTTGTGCACCATCTCCTCTGAGTGTGAGATATGTAATTGTTTGAAATGAAGTCAGTTCTGTTTACTGTTTTCTGTGATAGTTATTCAGCCTCCTTATCAAATATACTGTCCAAATGAAAAATCACAAGAAAGGTAAAAGGATTTATCTACAGTGATGTGTGATAATTGTAACATTAATGGTGTTTGTTTTTGGCGTTTTCATAGTGTGAAATGTGTGTGATAGTTGATTAATCAATTAATCTGCCTTGACACTATACAAAATGTCAGTGGACTGTGTCAGCCTGCACTGCTACATTTAAATGTGAATATAATCATTTAAATTCTTAAACTGTATAGTTTAGTGGTCTGGCTAGGTCAGAAAATAGTCTGTATCACATGTGGCATTGCATATTTATGTGGCAGATAGTTTATGTACTGTAAATTAAATGCAAGTAGTGCTATATATCTCTATTTTTGTGCAGAAATAAGTGAAAAAATGTAAGTTGAATAAACAATTGCATATGTCAAAGAGATTTTGTGTTGCCTTGTGTGTGTAGTTTTGTTTTTAAAGTGTGTACATTTAAATTCCGTTTTTTGTGTTTTGAGAGCAGTGGGAGATTTGTGTAAATAAACCAAAATCAAAGTGTTATTGATTTTTTTTTATCATATTGATAAACAATGAGTTATTGATAAAATTATTTTAGAAGCTTTAAATGATTAAAGCTGGTAGATAAAACTGTGATTAGCATTGTGCTTTATAAAGTGTAACAAATAATCTGTGATATCTTTGTAGTAGCAACACGTCTCTGGGGGCTTGCATGCCGAATGCATAAATGCACAATTTAGCATTCATTTAGAGAGCTCCTCTGTTTTGGAGTGTGTTATTGAAAAACTTAATCTCATTTCCACAATCTTCATCTTTTAATTTGCGGTAATTCATTATATTTGGGTGACGTTACTCTAATTATAAACCCGAGAAGCATGTTTATGGAATGATATGCCAGTCATATGCATGGTCTTCTTCGGGCCTTGAAGATAAATATCTGCTTGAGCATTTTCTGAGAATTCCATTTCTGAGAAACACACCCATGCAGAAACTGAAGGAGTATTTTTATGATATGTGTAACCAAGTGTGAATGAAATGGCCAAGTCTGACATCTCCTACGTGATTATTAAAGCGAGTTATGATGGGCACTACCCTTTAAGTGTGCATGAAAAAATTCCACTGCTCACTTCAATGAAGGCAACAGAAGCCAAAATAAGTGCCCCAGTTTTTGCTATGATCACATCTCCAATTCAAGGATGTCCTTCAAGTCAGTAAATTGTCAGGCAAGGGTGCCAGTCTTATAGGGCATGCACACACACACATAAACGCACGCACTGGGCCATTTAGTTAATTCAGCTACATGTTGTAAGGCCCAGAGCAGAGGTAGTATAGTGCTTTCAAAGTATTATCAACTGAACTGTGTTAAATAAAATGGGCTTTGGCATATAGATAATACAGTGGTACCTCAGTTCTCAAACTCATTAGAACTTGAATTTCTTAAAAGTCGAACCAACCAGTTCGAAAAAAAATTACCTAGAACTCGATCTGAGTCTCAGAAGTCAAACCGTGAACGCCAACCTAAGATAACTTGTACGCGCGGGGAAATGAGTCACGCGGCATGTCTCTCAGCGGAAACTAAGGGTAATGCTTCCGTTTCAGCCTCACATTCGCTGTGATAGCATAGAATTTTTTTTTTTCAGTAAAACGACCCCTGTAGTTTGCTGCAAATATAGACAATAAGGTTTGCCATAAAATTGCGGGATGAACGAATCAGGCAGTGCCAGACAATTTGATGTGGTAGAGACATGCAAGGTACAAATCATTG